GTTCCTTTAAGCGGCGCTCAGGAAGAGCTCGGCGAAAAAAAACTGTTCCTGAAGGGGAGCGGGCGCCAACACCCCCTCCCGTGGAAATAACACCGGCTGCTTTAAAGCGGGACTTTCAGCAGGTCTGCCGAGTCAGAAGAAAACAGCGTTTTAAAAACTGCAGCTTCGCTCAGACGGGATTAAAACCGCAGGGGACGTCAGCACTCCCTGTAGTCCCGGATCAGCTCGCTGCTCGGGACGCTGAGCAGGAAAATCACGGAAACCTTCACGCTGCAATCTTCTTCTTAGTTTGGGTCACAGTGTCTACGATGAAGGGCAAGAAAACAAATAGAGAACAGAACAAATCAGGCCTGAAGACCGCTGCACCAACATCCCAGGAAAAGGAGCGAAAACATTCCCCTTACATCAGGTAGCAGCCGCTCATCGTGACCTCCAGTTCTGCTGCAAGCTTTCCTTCAGGGAACAACTACGAAGACCTGAGCAAGTGTCGTTTTGCCTGATTTCCCAACAGATGGATGAACTTGTCTGTATTTATGTTTCCTTTTGGTTTTAAAGGTGACGCCCTCCGAGGAACAAGTCTCGCCATCGTCGGCCATCCCGGTAAAGTTTCCAGACAGTAATCTGAATTCCCGAGCGAAATAAATGAGAAATACCCCATCTTTGATTTAATGGTCACCGAACAGTCGCTGACTGAGATTTTGTTCTGAATCAGGCTTATAATCCCACTTACACACACATCACAAAGCACAGCCCAGACACGTGCATGTCAGCTCACCTGGGCTGCAGGTGTGTCTGTGAGTGTGCATGGCTGCCTCACTGACGGCCCAGGGTGAGCCCGAGTTCATTGCTCCGGGTCACGTCGGTGCTCTCAGACCTAAAATAGCAGCACCGCGGGGGATATGCTGTCCTCGGTGTCTCTGCAGGAAAGACATGAACTTCCTGACCTGATGATGGCTCACAGACACGTGTGTGAAGAATGTGTGTTACACACATACAGCACTAATACTCAGCTGTAATACCCTCAGCCTAACTCACCCTCAGCCTAACTCACCCTCAGCCTAACTCACCCTCAGCCTAACTCACCCTGAGCCTAACTCACCCTGAGCCTAACTCACCCTGAGCTAAACCAAGTCTCACTTTAACTCTAAAAACAAGTTTTCATCTTCAAAAGTTCAACCGACAGGTCAGAAACACCAATCTGCTCTCTGCATACACACACACACATGCACACACACAGACACACACACACAGACACACACACACACACACACACACACACACACACACACAC